GAGTTCACTGTCTATGATTTTATTAATTTAGTTTCTGGGATTTCCTCAGGAAGAACGACCTATTCTATTACAGAAAATACCTCGCCTCCAATATCTACAAATACATTTCCAATTTGTATTATTTGACAATAACAAAAGAACATTGTGCCACTGCACACAAACACTTCCCCCTTGCATACGTTCATCTGGTGTTTTGAACAACGTACGTGCAGAACTGCATTGGTTTTTGATGTATAACGGAGAAGGACAAAACATATGAGACAACCTTTTTCAAATTCATCTCTGATGATGTCTTGATAACATCTCAAAAATACATACCTTTCACGCTCATGGTTTCTGCTCATTTCACATCTTATGCTCGGCCCAAGACAATTAGGAAGATTTGTTTTAGTTTAACCGTTCTAAATTTGAATTCATATGACTTTTAGCCTTTTTCATTCTCCAAAAGTAAAGCTCATCATCTTTGCTCTTATTTAGTAAAACAAAATGTTAATCCGGACTCTTGGCCTACGTAAAATAAAAAGGGGGGGGGGGTTTCCTATTGGGGGCACTCTTCAAAACTGACCATTATTATGCATACTGCAAATATTATATGCCCATTTTCATGGCGCATTGTGATGGTTTTTACGTGAGTTTTCTTTTTTAGGATTTGGGATTGATGTCAGTACTCTCTAACCATTTATTTCAATAATTGCTGACAAAAAAAACATTTGTCAAAAAAATCTGCCAGGTGCAAAGTACCCCCCTGCCCCCCTCTGGATATGCCACTGCTCAAAAACCATTACAATGAGACATGAAAATTGGCATGATTTGCAGTATGCATAAAATGGCCAGTTTTGAAGAGCCCCCCATTTGAAATATGGGTACCAGCCCCTCCCCTCCCCCCCCCTGTTTTTTTTAATTTTACGGAGGCTAAGTGTCCGGGGCAAGAAACATGTCTACATTTTGGCGTGGACGTGCGTTTGCCCCCCCCCCCCCCCCCCAACATCAAATGCTGGATACGCTACTGCCTGATGATGGCATCATTACATTATATACTGACTCATTGCCAAGCAGTATACCATTACAAAACCACAGAAATGCACAATAGACATCGTCTTGGACGATGTAATCTGCTTGTCTGGTAGCTTTTTAGTTGGTTTTAAAGACTTGGCAGGGCCAAGGATGACTCATCTCTGGAACCAATAATAAACTTGAATAATAAAGTGGAACATTCTTGAAAATGCATTTGAGCATTTGTATTCTTTCTCTTTCAATTGGTGTTTATAGTTTGTAAAGAAGTTGTCACACTAGAGTAAATTGCAGCAGGTCAAGACGAGATGACCATATACGTTCGGGAGTTAAAATATGAAGTAAAATGAAGTAAATGAAGCAGTCTTTCAACTGACTTTCACATTTACAGTTAAAATGTTCAGTGTCATTCAATTAAAACTTCAGAAGCTCTCAACGAAAAAAATAATATCTGGAGCTCAAATCACACGAAGCCAAAACGCCATTGAATAAAGCAAGTGTGTATGATTCAAGTAAAGCCATGTACCCAATCAAGAGAGTAATCGAGACACCATTTATATTGTGGCACCGCATGCACCGGCGTCTTTTATGTCATTGGATCTCCAGTCCTTTCATCACAACCTCTTTGTCTAGTGCCGCCTTGGCTGGTTACCCAATTTCTTTTGTCAGCGTTAATCCAGGATTAGTATAACGACCCATGCCTGCGCACACTAGCCCGCATTGCCCGCACTTGCACTCAAAGGAACGCAAGGGCCCGTGCAATTGCAGCCAAACCCGTGTGGCACTGGGTTGCCCGCATGCACATGCGTGCTCCCGGGGGCGCACGCGGGTGGGAACAAATTGGAAGTAATCCATGGGGCCTAAGTGAATGAGACATAGGGTCATTGTAAATAATCAGTGTCTCTGTATCCCGTAACAACATATATACAAGACCAAAATCAAGAGCTTTAAACAGATGAAACAGAAATAAAAGTAAAATCAATTTAAAAAGTCCAAAGATAAAGAAGTCTTGATATCCAAATCAAGTAACTTTTGAGGACTTATCACATTATATCAATCATTGTGTTTGGTAATTTTGAAGAAATATCCAAAAGCCCTGCAATAGACCTATCTATTAAAGCCCCACCTAATGTATTTTGACCAATCAAATCCATGATTAATGTCTGAGGCCCTTTTGAAACGTCAAACTTCTGCCGTGTCTAATTCAATTCATTGGAGACGGAGCAAAAACGGCAGAAGTGCGGCAGTTGCTTCAAATGTCAGTTTTCTGTCGAACGCAATTCATTTGTTTAAGATAGCAGACCAGTGGCTGAGCCAGGCTCTACAATATTTCTTTTATGGGATGGGGCAAGAAAAGGGGTTAAGAAATAATTTGGGTTGGGGGAAGGAGGCAACATAGAAAATCAAGGGGGATGGACGTCATTTGACAATTGAGGGCCTTGTTCAAATCCTGTAGGTACATGTATTAATTTTTAAAGTAGCTGCACTTGTTCATTTTTCTGATATTTATACAAATGATGACTTTGATCTCTTTTCCTTTTTAATTTTCCCCCTTGTTTTTTTTTGCTTGACAAAAATGGTAAGTCTCACCCATAATTCCCTTCTAAAAAATATCCAACTAGCCAAGATGGTTAGTCTCCTCCATAATTCCCTTCTAAAAATATCCTCCTGGCCAAGATAGTTAGTCTCCTCCATTATTCCTTTCTAAAATATCCTCCTGGCCAAGATGGTTAGTCTCCTCCATAATTCCCTTCTAAAAAATATCCTCCTAGCAAAAATGGTTAGTCTCCTCCATAATTCTCTTTTAAAAATATCCTCCTGGCCAAGATGGTTACTCTCCTCCATTATTCCCTTCTAAAAATATCCTCCTGGCTAAGATGGTTAGTCTCCTCCATAATTCCCTTCTAAAAAATATCCTCCTAGCAAAAATGGTTAGTCTCCCCCATAATTCCCTTCTAAAAAATATCCTACTAGCCAAGATGGTTAGTCTCCTCCATAATTCCCTTCTAAAAAATATCCTACTAGCCAAGATGGTTAGTCTCCTCCATAATTCCCTTCTAAAAAATATCCTCCTAGCAAAAATGGTTAGTCTCCCCCATAATTCCCTTCTAAAAAATATCCTTCTAGCCAAAATGGTTAGTCTCCTCCATAATTCCCTTCTAATAATGTCCTCCTAGCCAATATGGTTAGTTTCCTCCATAATTCCCCTTCAAAAATTATCCTAACAAAATAAATGGTTTATCTCCTCCTTATTTCTTTCTAACTAATATCCTCCTGACCAAAATGGATTGCCTTCTCCTTATTTTCTTCTAATATATAAAAGTATTACCACAATAGATTACCTTCTCCATAACGCTAGCAACTGATACACATGAACAGAACACATGTTCGCATCGCATTAACCCCCCTGAAAATGTATATAATTTGCCCTATTTTTGTCCGCCCCTGATAAACACGTGCTCCAATGTGTTCCTTTCCGAACCTTCCACCGCGACTGAATACATGACTCCATATCAATCAGATTGTTTACTTTTACACCGACCCCAACATTATAGAATCACACTTAATTATCCTTAAAAAAAAAAAAAAAAAAAAAAAAACGCGCATAACTAATTAATCTCCCAGTTCATGACGTCATTCTCCATAATCACGCCACAGGTTATATCTTAACCTGAAGCACAGTGTAGCCCATGCAAATTCTGGCTTGGCAGACTAACGTGAATGCGAGTTAAGAGTTATGTACTAAGTTACAATTTTATCAAAAGAAATTAAATCGTTTTAATACCAAAGAGCAATATCCAGCCTAGTCTAGAATGGCAAAGTAACAATTGATAAAATACAGCGAAAAAAAAGAAAAGTTTAGGTCACAATGTTATGCTAAACTTGCTAAGAACTTGGCCATACAGATGCCTTCAATTGGGAAACCAGGGTTGCTCACAGCTTCACACAGTTTTGTTGTATGATAATTCATTAATTCGTTCGCAATAAACAGGTAGTCCGGGATCCTAAGTTTTCCCAGGAACAAGAACAAATGCAATCGGCCTACAAAGAAATAAAATCCCACATTACATTTAGGAGAACAATTTCATTTGAGATCAAGCGTCGAAAAAAAAATTGACAATTTTTCTGTTATAAGTACACTATCATGGGCAACAAGGAAGTGACGGCCTCCTTAAGTTGTAATTGCTCCCAGGAAAGGCGAAAAACCCACCCCCCCCAAAAAAAAATCATTAGTTTAAAACATGGGCAATTTCCCTTCCGGCCCCTAGTCAAGGCGACCAAGTTTTCCTCAAACTCTAGAAGCAATCTTTGTAGTTTGTCATTGTTAAATAATAGATGTGTGTGCCTCATCACTTTATTCTCACTCCCTTCTTCTCAAATAATACACAAGTGAAAGTAGCCAAAACAATGCCAATGTAGCAATAAAATATGTTAACTTACAATCAGAAGAATATTAACCACGGCAGTTGTGCAACTCTACAGCCCAAATCACAAATCAAAAGGAGCGTGTTTGATTTTTGGAACAATTTGGCAATGGTGCAGGCCGGTTATCTTGTGATAATTGCTAGATGTTATCGATATCATATCAGCCAGCTGTATTCATGCAATGCATGCGATATTCACACCATTTTACCACCTTTTACCACAATACCAGTCATGGCAAAGACATTACACTCAGCAAATTATTATGCCCAAATTTGCGGCAGTGGGTTGAACATTCTTCTAAATTTAGCACATAGCATGTAAACAAACATTGCACACTGCGTCTACAGTCTCAACAAAATTGCTGCCGAAGTTTCTAATCCATTATCATGTGGGACATAAAACAGTGCCATTTTTAAACACAGTTACAGTTGTAACATTTTTATTCAAATATTTTGGTTTTTATAAAATATATTTTATTATATTGAACTCTAGGGTAGTTCTCACACTTAACACCTCTAGTGTGGTATGAATCTGTTCTAGTGTTTTCTTCCTTTTGTTGGCAGTGATGAAGCGGGACCTAAACAACGTCAAGAAGAACATGACAGTTCTTCTTAAAGTCGAAAACCCATCAGAAAGAGATGTTGCATTTTTTGATGATGTTGCTGTAAGTATTTGACGTTTATAGCAAAGAGTTAGTAATGTGTGAAGTGTTGTGACCTTTGCCACAGTGTAGTAGAAGAGTCTTTTTCTGAGTCCAACAATTGTACTAAAATATAGGCTGGTACAGTAGGAGTTAGATCTGAAAAAAAATAGACATAGAGATGTTTGCATTAGATTTGATTATCAGTAGAATTCAGATCATTGTTAGACAAAAAGATGTACTAGAAATTTCCAAGAATGTGTGAAAGGACCAAGACTCGGACTCAAATTCAATTGTGCTGTAAATTATTTGTATACTCATTCTAAGTACTCTTGCACAGCCATCATGCTAAGGCTAGATTCCTGCTATGAAACCTCATTTTCTGTTCACTACAGAACTAACAAAGATGTGACTGCAACATTTGTTAGTTAAAAAAGTACAAATTGCTTAGATTTAAGAAGTGATCCGGATCTGTGTCTAGATGCAGGAATTTTTTTTTAAGGATTTTCATCCATCATATGGAAAACTTTCACCAGATCATTGTGTGAGCAGCTCCGTGTGCATGACACTGACCCAGTTACCCTGTATGCCTTATCACCCACCTAGTTTAACCACTCAGGTCAATGGACTAGACCATTTATACAACGGGGGAGTGTAAAGGTAGACAAACACAAGCGTATACATGTACATGTTTTTTAGTGAATATGCAAACTTTTTAGCGAACTTACAATAAGGGAAGGAATTGTTCATCTTTGGTCGGAGGTTTGCGCTCTTTGAGTGCTTTCTATTTTCTTCTGTAATTGACACCGTATTTTTGACACCCTCGCATGCACCCATCCAGGTTTGAGTATTGTTCTTCTGGAAATTTTTGTTGTTGTTGTTCAAAGTTACATTTTTACGTCTACTCCTGTTGATTTAGTACACAGTTTCTAATGAGGTTGTCCCCAATTGGTGTCCTTAAGTATAGACAAATCCGGACATGCTATCAATTGTGTCACGGAGGAGTCAATTTTATGTAACGGCAGATCTTTTCTTTTCTCATTGCGAACAGGCATTTGTGGAGCAGTATGGGCGAAAACTAGCATCCTTGCAGAAAAAAAGTGAAGAAATGAAAACGGCATATGAACGAATGCTGGTAAGTAAAGGGGAAAAGTGCAGTGTTTATTGGTTGTCCAATTCTGTCAGTTGTCATGTCTTGTATGAGGTCTTTCATGTAGGACTGTTGGTGGGTGTGCATCACTGTATTTAACACATTTAGAATGCAAAAGAAATAAGAAAGTACATGGTACACATTCAAATTTTTCCATTCTTTTAAACCCAAAATATTTTTTACTTACCTCAGGACATCAAAAATAACATTATTTTTGTCCATACTTCTACTTGTGCCAATTCACACTTTCACATCTAAGACATGACCAAAATTTACAAATTAAGTATCTGTTGTTCATTAATTGAGTCGATTTATGAATTAATTTTATAAAGTTTCAGTCCTTTAATTAAAGAAAATCCAGGAGAGCTATAAATCACTCTCCTCAAATCTCTGAGAGCTAATAGCCTAGCGGCGGAACGTTAAAAGTGTACATTTATTTTAAAGACATGTCTGATATATTGAGAAACTGCCATCGGTATGTTACAACAAATGCAAAACATATCAGCAAAGTTGTCACAGCTGAATCTTCTAAACCATCATGAATATCAGAAATAATTATCAGAAATAGCCTACTTGCGTGGAAACCCATAATTTGGTGATTTCTTCACCTCTTTCCTACTCTGTAACTTCGTTAAGTCTGCTTAAGTATTGGGTTGAAACTTTCACAGATGAGAGATAAGATATGAGAATATAATAAACTGTGCAGTGTTTACACCCGATCCTGATCCCCCTCCAATCTCCATTTACAACGGAAGGAAGGTCATTGAGTGTGTGCAGAAGATGGCCAATTTCGTGCGCTAATCACTACAGAAATTAAGATATAATGTTTTTCATCGCTATCTCACTGCTTGACTACTGATGATTTACTTGATATTTTACTCACGCTGGTCCCCCGATTTTTGTCGTAATCTAGATCTAGCTTCATCCTCTACGCATTGTCCCCACTGTCCATGAATAACATCACAGTAACGTTACGTATAGAAGCAATGACTTCCAAACGAAGTTAATTAGTCTTTTTTTAGAGCAATTGTTTATACCATTGAGGTAGGAATGTAGCGGTATTTAACTCCAATTGTTTTTTGTTTATTTACTGGGAATATGGAAAGATTTAGAACAACATTAAATTGGCATAAACGGGACTACACAAAATAAAGATTGGATTTGGGAACACATCGTGGGTAGCGATTTCTTGGCGATTGTGTAGTTAAGGGCCCCGTTCCAAATAAAGAGAACGTAATACGGCCATCCAGGAGTCACTCAACTGCTAATTAATATTTAAAACCAACCAGGGTTTGAAGTTTTAAGGGAATCTTTGGGGGTAAAATAGTGATTAAGACGACAAAACGTAACACGAACAAATTGGTCATGGGGAGCAGTATAAGTGCGGCCGTGCTGAACCACGTTGGTATCAGCTGAAAATGCGTGAGCAAATCGCATTTTCTAACCAAGGATAATGTTCAAACTTAACCAAAAAAATTAGATTTAAAGAATATAAAATCTGCTTAATGCAGAAATGATTTAGGAATGAAAAACACTTTAAGGACTAAAACAGAACCATCGCGGGCCTCGCCGCGACTTGAATAATAACAAAATATTTTTCGCGGACTTTTCTACGCTGGCAGGATGTGACTGGGTCAAATTGCGGGGTTCGATCCACCAATTGCGTTTACACTCAACAATTAGGGGATCAAATCCCGCAATTGCGGGGTCCGATCCTTCCCGAAAGGGGGATTCAGAAAGGGGGATCCCATCCGGCTAAAGCTCGATCCACCTCGTTGCGGTTAAGCAGACTTCGATCCTCCTTGCCGGATCAGATCCCCCTCGAATCCCCCTTGCGGTATCTAGTGTAAACGCGGTGTTATTGCTGCTTCACCCCACCGGACCTGAACCTGGAAAAGTCACGGAAGGCAGTTGCCTAAGCCTGCCAAAAGTTCGCAGGTCAAGCAACACCTACGGTAGTAGATGTGGACCCAAAACAATCCTGCTGAAATAATGCTAAATAAGGAAAATGATCATGGCACAAACTATATGCTCTCAAATTGGCACACCTTGCATGCTTTAGCCAGTGGAGGGACCAGGTGGCAACCAGTTAGCTGGCCAGTGCGAATTTGAAAAGCAAAATCACCTTATTTGACCATAGGGGTGCTCTCCCTTGCTGTTTTCAAGAAAGCATGGTCAGAGATCTTTAAATGCACCTGAGACATTCACAATATGTCACATTCACTTATTTCTGCACTAAATGTGTAGTGGGTTAAATATGTAGACCCACATCTTATTTAGCTGCAATTTCTTGGATGGACTCTTAATCAGACTGCAATCCGATTTGACTTGAGATTGTGACATGCAAAAGTTTCTCCAAACAAATGTGCACAAACTTGGCATGATGAAATTGTGTTGTCACAAAATGTTGCAAATTATCATTTACGTTCAGACATGTTACAAAAATTGAGTTGAGTCTAGCATTTCATCTCTTTGTTTTGCTTTGTTTGAATACTACAAAATCTGACGAAGATTTCTGCTGCAAATCTAAAGGATGCCATAATACAGTTAATGTAGGGAAGATTTTTATGCCCCGCGGCGAAGCCGAAGGGGCATACTGTTTCCGCCTTGTCCTTCCGTGGGTGGGTGTGTGTGTGGGTGGGTAGGTGTGTCTGTGTGGGTGGGTGTGAGTTTGTCTTACATTCCCTATGTGGACTTGTGAACAAGAGATGTCCACATAATGCAGGTTGTGTTAACGTTATGTGGACTAAGCCGTGTCCACATAAGGTTTTGCCCTTTCTGGAAAACAGGTTTAGAGGCATTTTTGGGTTAGGTTTATCCGTAGCAGAATGAAGAGAAACACTATAGGGAATCATAGAAAAAAAATTGGGTTAAAAGAGTTTTCACAGTTTAAGTAAAGTTATTTTTTGTACCGAGTTTTCTTAACTACACGAAAACAAAGGAATGTCCACACAAGGTATGTAACGTAAACCTGGGTGTGGGTGTGTTTGTGTGTCCGGACAAATCTTGTCAGCGCGATAACTTGAGAAATACTTCACATATGAACTTCAAATTTGGTTTGTGAATTGTTCTTGGTAATCCTAAGAACCTTTTGCATTTGGGAACAAAAGGTCAAGGGTCAAGGTCACAGCGACTAAAACAAAAGAAATTTTGTCAGCGCGATAACTTGAGAAATACGGTTTGTGGATTGTCCTTGGCAATCCTAAGAAGCCTATTGCATTTGGGGCCAAAAGGTCAAGGGTCAAGGTCACAGTGGCTAAAACAAAAGAAATTTTGTCAGCGCGATAACTTGAGAAATACTTTACATGTGAACTTCAAATTTGGTTTGTGGATCGTTCTTGGTAATCCAAATAGGCCTATCGCATTGGGGGTCGAAAGGTCAAGGGTCAAGGTCACAGTGGCTAAAACAATAAAAATCTTGTATTTATTCTGAGATCATAGGGATTAGGGATTAATTCATATAAAACCTACAGAAGACACTAATGCTTTCATTGAACGTTCCATGTGACCAAGGTACATGTAAGTTGATGTTAAAAGAGTGGTGTTATGTCATGGGAACAGTCACGGTTGCGGGGCATTTGTGTTTGTAAACACACCTGACTTGTTTTTTTCTCATTTATGCTAAACATAACATACCGGGTACCTATTTCATCCCTTTTGTGATGTTTTTGTGTACATATTTTATTTACAGGAGAGATTTGCCGAGCCACAAGGGGTTGACTCAAGTGATATTTTTACTGCCATCAGTGATTTTGTCAAGGCTTTCAAACGGGAGATGGATCTTATACATGCTGCAGCTGGGCTTGGAAGGCAAGTAATTTAAGACATTTAAGGGCCTGCCATATGGATATGCTTGCCCCCCAACCAAAAAATATTTGAGGTATTAACTGAATTAACTTTTGTCAATGACAGGCATTGTCTTTGACGTCATGATGACATCACCAGGTGTCAGATTACCAGCGACTTTAGTTCAAACAGTGACCAGCTTCTTTCACTTATAACTCTTCAACAAAATGATAAATCATGCTACAGCTGAGGTGTCGTAGTCCCATTGAAGTTGGACAAGAACTCAAGGCAGAGTAATAATTCGAACCACTGTGAGGCCCCTTTTGGCTCCAAGCACAAGTACTCCTTCAACGGCCAGAAAAGGAGAGTTGTGGGAGACCTAGACTGCTATAAACTGCTATTATTATTATTATTATTTCTAGTTGACATAGCTTTATCAGCCAGCGGACTACTTTTTTTTAGACTATGAATAGTCCAAAGAAAAGCAGTTTAGCCACTTTGTCCGTTGTAGGTTTCCATCGCCGCAGTGAGTTGATGATGCACCAGGAGCTAGATGGTTTGGTTTAGGAAGCGACGGATGATGTTGCATGTTTGGAGGATGACTGTCCGTTGGAGAATCTAAAGGAGCAGTGGGTGGGAGAGCTGTTGAGGTCCATATTGTAAAAAGTTGTGCACTTTTGAGACTAAAGCATAAAACTTTGTACGTTGGTTCTTCATACAATTAATACAATGATTGGATGCGAGAAAAATATTCATGTATACATCACTCTACTTACCTGTAGAGCGAATACTGCATATGCATTGTTCCCTATGCCGGCAGGCAATTTGCTAAGAGTTTTACACAATAGCGCCCTCACGTGTCCTACCCACGACGCCCTGTGACATGCGCACTACGTTAGCGTCCTCTTTTTCTCTTAGCCGCAGGCGAGGTATATCGTGAAATTTCGATCGACTCGAATTTCACTGTTTTATTTATGCCTCTTAGCTGGGAGAAAGCTATTTATCAGATATAAAGAGAAAGTGTTTATTGTAGAGTTATCATAGTGAGTTATTCTAAGTGAAGTGAGTTAGAAAAATGAGTAAATCTAGGAAGTTGGGGAGGACTGGGTGTGTCGATAATGGAGGGACGTACATCCCACCAGACAAGCTCGAGTTCTCGGGGGACTGCACCGGTGATGGTACGTCACCGCGGCAGCAGTCCCCTAGTCGGCCCCTTCAGCCACTGCCGGCTGTCGGAGTTGACGGACCCGTTGACCAAGCGGGGGGCCGTACAACCCCACCATCTTCGGTCAATATTCACGGGTCCGCCCAACTGAAGGGGAAACGCACCGGCAAGACAAAGAAATTGTATGACGCCGGGGCAGTACCCAAAAAGGGACATACGGCAAAAGGTGGCCCCGCTACGGGGCGCACCGTGCCTGTCCCTGGCCCGTCCACGGGGCACACGCAGCCGGAGGAAGTACTCCTCCATGGCTCAGTGCACCCAGGCCCACCCAGCCCTGTGATTACCACGATGCCTGGGGATGGGCTGTTATATGGCCGGCTAATCGACCGTACAGCACCCGCCTATGTTACCGGCGTGGGGGCGCTGTCGGCCGCCCGGGCTATTGATCGCGTAGAGCCGAATCCCTGGGATTCCCCCGGAGCGTTAATGCTACGCTCAGAGGGCATGCCTCTACATCGGATTTTATTCGTTGTTCGGGCATCCCTGTGTCCCCGCAATCCTCGGCAACTACTCAGAGTCTTTCTTCAAAAAGGAAAAAAATCGAAAAAGAACCGCCGTTCCCGCCGTTCTTCGACGAGTTCTAGCGGGTCATCCGGTCGATCACACTGTGGGAAACGCCACAAGGGTGGCGACCCGATTTCACGCGATCATTTTTTTTTAGGCTTTTCACTCCCTCGCGGCCTCATTGTCAGGCCGGCAGGGAGACTATGGTCACAGCTGGATGACTCCGGGCCAAAGGGCAAACCGCACACGGTTAGCCGTGCGCCAGAGTCCCCGCCAGAATTACAGCCCCCACCCGCCAGTCATCACGGCCGTGGTGGGGTGACTACAGACCAGCGGACAATGCCGTGCACGGAGAGCCGTGCACCGGCGTCCCTGCCCGGTATTAGTTTACACCCATCGGTGTCACTAGAGTCTGAGCGGGGCCCGATACCGGGACACCGTGACGACGCTGCTTCGCCCCCGGGGCCTGGTTCCCATTCCCCGGTGACAACTCGCCCCCTGTACTCTGACAATTCGGCGGACGAGAGCGAGCTGACCCGCACCATGCAACGTCTATCGGTGGCCGAGACCGAACTCCGCTTGGTTCAACGGGATATGATCAGGGTTCTGAATCACCCTGCTGGTACCGAACCTCCTCCTCCTCCTGAGCGTCAGTCGTTCAAGAAGAGATCGGGGCCGACGGCAGAACCGGTCCGGGCTTTTCCCACAATGCCTCTGGACCGCGTGTGCGTTGATCACATCGACGGGATAATGCACGCAAAGACATGGAGTGCCTACGCTAAGCGCGTAGACTCGTATTATCATTTTCCCCCAGGGGATTTTGAGAAATATTTCTCAACTCCAGTCCTGCCGGACTCGGCCATTGACAAACTCGCCGCTGACCGAGGGACGGCTTCATCCAAGGTTCCTTTTACGGACAAGACCCGTGGAAAGCTAGAGGATGTCACCCGTAGAATGGACTCGGCGGCACGCATGGGTATGCGTGCGACGTCCTTTCTTCTTCTCCTATCCGAGTACCTGGCCCTGGGATATGAAGAAGATTTGGTAATACCAGCCGACATGATGGTGGCTGCTCTCCATTGCCTCGATCCTGGCCTATGCTCCACTCTCGACCAGTTTGCTAGAGTGTCGACCTTGGCAACATCGTCACGCCGCGCCAATGTGCTAGATGCGCTTTTCCTCCCTTCACCTGGAGCACGTAAGCGTCTCGACGAACTTCCGTTGTCAGGCCCGGACTTATTTTCTGGTAAGTTTCAGGAGGCCATGGAGGCCGAGGCAAAGCGCCTCAAGGCCACTGAGAAAATAAATCTCAAGAAATCGGCCGAGCCGAAAACCGCCCCCTGGTCAGAGCGGCCCGTGGTGGATTTCGTGGGCGCGCCGATAAAACGGTCGGCCCGCGCTATTCACAACCACATACCGGACAACAACGTCCCCAGTCGGGACGCGGTTTCTGTGCGCCCACTCCCCGGTACACCGGGGCGTGGCGCAAATGACTTATACGTCTCCAGGCGGCCTCCCGCCAGGGGACCCATGGGAGGCCGCCTTCAGGAGTACATGGGGTCCAGGGTGCAGGTGACTTCCGACCGATGGGTCCTCGAAACGATCAGCAGCGGTTACGCGCTCGAGTTTACAAGGACCCCCCCGTCGGACATGCTTATTCGGACAACGCCCGTACCGCCCGACACAGCAAAACGCCGCTCCCTCGAGGGGGAGATCGACACCCTCCTTCTAAAGAGAGCAGTTCGTGTTGTCCCCCAAGGGGGGACCCAGGCAGGTTTCATGTCGACCTTCTTCTCGGCCCCCAAGAAGGAGACCAGCGTGTGGCGTCCAATATTGAACTTAAAACCCCTCAACAAGTTCATACGTCCGAAACATTTCCGCATGGAAACGTTACGGACCATTCTCGAATCGATCATAACGCCAGCGTGGGCGGCCAGTATAGACTTGAAAGACGCGTACTTTCACGTACCGATAAGGCCGGAGCACCGCAAATTCCTACGTTTCCAATACAAGAATATACTGTACGAATTTGTGGTGCTCCCGTTCGGGGTGTCCACTTCTCCGCGGGTGTTCACCCGGATCGTGAAGACGATCGGGGCGGCACTGCGGCGACGAGGGATCATGATTTTCATGTACCTCGACGATTGGCTAGTAGTGGGTCGTTCTCGGGGGGAGACGGAAGCGGCGCTCCAACTAAAGTGGCACCTTGCTTCCGACCTGGGATTTCTCATCAACACCGAGAGAAATCCCATCCATTCCCCTCGCAGGTTCCCACCTTTCTAGGTGCATCCCTCGATCTTCGCAGGGGACTGGCCCGTCCATCGGAGGACCGCCTGCTGAACCTTCGGCAGTGCGTGTCCCTCTTCCTCCCGACGGTAGTGGCTCCGGCCCGAGCCTGGCTCAGGCTGTTGGGCCTTATGGCCAGTCTGGTGGACTTTTTGCAGGTTGAGGATGAGGCCAATTCAACTTCACCTGCTTTCTTTCTACAGACCCTGCTGGCACCCGATCGACCATCCGGTGCCCACTACGTCTTGGCTAGTCCCCCACCTTCATTGGTGGCTAGTTGAGGCCAATATAACGCAGGGCCGCGTTTTCTGCCCGCCCCGCCCGTCGGTACTTATCACGACCGACGCGTCAGGGTACGGCTGGGGGGCTACCCTCCACCCGCGACAGGTGGCGGGCGTATGGGGCCCCGAACATCAATCATCCCACATCAACGTCCTGGAAATGCTGGCAGTCACCAACGCCCTAAAACATTTCCAGTCGGACGTCAGAGGGCAAGCAGTCCTGGTACGATGCGACAACGCCACAGTGGTGGCATACATCAATCACCAGGGGGGCACTCGGTCAGGCCATCTGTGCGCACTAACGTGGGATCTCACCCTCTGGTGCATACATCACGGGATAGCACTGTCGTCAGTCCACATCCCGGGCGAAGAGAACGTCACAGCCGACACTCTCTCCCGAGGCTGGATCGCCCTGTCAGAGTGGTCACTGCTCCCACAGGTGGCTCAGTCGATCTTCCGACTAATCGACCGGCCGCATGTGGACCTATTCGCGTCGCGAATGAACAATCAGCTACCGATCTACTGCACGAGGGGCCCAGACCCCAACGCGTGGCAGACCGATGCGCTGTCGGTGCGGTGGGACGGCCTACTGGCCTACGCCTTCCCACCCATCTCCCTCGTTTCTCGAGTGCTGACCAAGATCGAGCAGGAGGATTGCCGAATCCTCCTCATAGCCCCGTTCTGGCCCCGCCAGCCGTGGTTTCCCCGGCTCGTCCGACTCTTGGTTT